AGGAGGAGGCAACAATGCTTGATAAGAAATGTACTCATTACCTTGCTCATGTAATTGGAACCCCTCTGTATGGTATTTTCACAATTAAAAAAAAAAACTTATTAAAAAAAAAAGAAAAGAAAATACCCCTGATTGTTTTGAATAGGAATTGAGCTCTGATTTCACTAACCTTAGAGCAGAGATTCTCAACCAGCAGCTCTATAGTTTCCCAAGAGAGCATTTAGCAATGGCTAGAGGCATTAGTTGCTGCATTTGAGCACTGATAACTGGCTTCTGGTGAGAGGCCAGGGATACTGACAAACATCTTCCAGTATAAGAATGATGCCTGGCAACAAGAGATTGTCTGGTACAAAGTGTCCATGTATTGCTGCTGAGAAACCTTGCCTTTCATACTTTGTTTCCGCTCATAGTTGAAAATTAGACTGTTAGCAGGGTGTCAGTGGCTCAATGCCTATAATCCTAGCTACTCAGAAGGCTGAGATCTGAGAATCCCAGTTCAAAGCCAGCCTGGGCAGGAAAAACTATGAGACTCACCTCCAATAAACACCAGAAAACCAGAAGTGGCACTGTGGCTCAAGTAGTAGAGCACTACCCTTGAGCTGAAGAGCTGAGGGACAGCGCCCAGGCCCAGAGTTCAAGCCCCACAGCTGACCAAAAAAATTAGACTGTTGTCAGGTGCTGGTGGCTCATGCCTGTAATTTTAGCTACTGAGAATAGCATTTCAAAGCCAGCTGTGGTAGAAAAGTTCCTGTGAGACTTTTATCTCCAGTTAACCACTCAAAACCCAGAAGTGATACTGTGGCTCAAGTGGTAGAGTGCCAGCCTTGGGCATGACACTCAGGCTCTGAGTTCAAGCTTCACAGACAACAAAAAAAAGGAAAGAAAAAGAAAAAAATACTAGAATGTTAATATGGATTCTTCACAGAGAACTTCTTTGCCAAGACCAGGGGAGGGACCAGTATCCTACAAATACATGACTTGGGAAAGTAGGAGATAGAAAAGTATGAATAAGCATAAAGGACTTATTTTAGGCATTGGTTTAAATTAATGCAAAGGAACTTAGCATAAAAGAATTTAATACATATCTTCTTTTTTCACAGGTGTATAAAGAATCTGGTCACCTTCACAAATGTTATCCCTGACTGGCACCCACTTAATGCCGCCCATTTCGGACCGTGTAACAATTGCAACAGTAAATCACAAATAAGAAAAATGATATTGGAAACGTGAGTTAAAACCATATTTTAATTTTTGAAATGAAATGAAGATAACATTTACATTGAACAGAAAGTGGCGACTGCAACTTCCCTTTCAGAAATTCAAGTTAGCATGTACTTGGGAATCAGGACCTTAGACGACTATATGCAAGCTGTTAAAGAAAAACAGTGCTGCAGGGCTGGGTTAGGGCAATGTCTTAGTGCTGCTGAGTGGCCTTGTTCCTTCTGGGTCCTGTTCTTGAGCTGCTCCTCTCTTCACTACTTCCCCTCTTGTTGCCTCTTTGCTAATGTTTCCTCATCTGTCAAGTTCTCATGTCACTAGAATTCTAGAACATCCTTAATTTCAACAACTAAGATGATTCAAAGAAGATCATGTGCCTCACCTGTCTGAATGTCTGTCTTCTCATAGGTACCAGCCTACCAATTCTTCCATGTTGTAAGCTTTTGAACATATATGCTTTCACTGTATGTTGCCAACTTTTTGGCTTGTTTTCAGCAGGAAAGTTGGTCACCATTAGAGTAATTCTGACTTTAATTCCAGCTCTATGTTAGCGGTTTGTGTCTTGTTGATCTGCTTATACATGTCCACATCCTCTTTGGCCATCATGTGAGTCTGACTCCAGATAAAGAGCCAGAGACATTAACTCCCCCCTTAAATCTTCCAGAAATACCTCAGAATTATTCCTAAAAGTATGTTGTCATTGAAATAAGACGTTTTCCTTTAATAGTGCCAAAAGGTTTAAAAGTACAACTGTACTCTGCCTCACTTCCTCTCCAGGCTTCTATATCAAATCTTCAAATTAAGGTTGCGTTTACTTTGACATAGCAAAGTATGTTGGGGGCTGGGGGCTCATGCTTGTAATCCTAGCTACTCAGGAAGCTAAGGCTAGAAAAATCCCATGAGATTCATCTCCAAAATAGCCAGCAAAAAGCCTAGACTAGAGGTGTGGCTGAAGTGGTAAAGTATCACCTATTAGTATGAAAGCCTAGCTGGAGCACAAGGCCCTAACTCTAAGCCAAAACAAAAACGCAAAATGACGTGCTGTGCAGTGGTGGAGGGAGGACTAGGGCTCCTGTTCCCCATCTCGTTGAGCCATTTTCTACCCTTCCAGTGTGAATGAGTACTTGGTTAAACTAGTGCTCAATGTTTGAATTATTCTTAATGTCTATATATTATTTCTTTCTCTGGCCAGGCAGTGTACATGGTTTTGATTTATTTCTCTAGCAATTCTTTATCCTTGTCTTGTGTTTTCATTTGCTTTGTTGTTTATTCATTGGATTTTTTCCCAATTGACATATATTTCTATGTCTATTTCTAACTCTCAAATGCTTCAAAATGTTGAGCTTCTTCCAACTGGCTTTTGTTTTCCTGGAAGCTTCTCTTTTGTTGACTTCTGTGCTGTCACTCCAGTCTTCCAGTCTGCACTGACTCCCCTCTGGACTGGCCACCTACGGATACTCTTTCTACTTTTAAAATCCGATTTAGCGCAAGCCTATCCTTCACAATTGCCTCATTTAGATGCTGAGTCTTTGGGGGTCTGTAGGACAGAGAGCTCCCCTCCTCAGGACATCTGACATCACTGCATCTGTTCTGCTCTCCCGCTTCCACATTTGTTCGCTTCTGTATTGGCTACTTCTTTCCTATTGCATGTTCCCTTTTTCCAGGCTTTTGGGCCATAGCTCTTTTTGTTCTTCACTATCATTTGAAGGCATCTGAGTGGGAAAAAGAGCAGCTATCTTAACCAAAAGTCTGTCACCTTGCTTGGCCATTTGGTGTCCAGGTTTTGTGAGTTAAGTGTTGAAGAATCCCATGTATAAGCTTTCCTTGATGGTGACACAGGTAGTAGCACAGTAGGGTCTGTCTGCTGAGGTCCTATTCTGAGCCCTTGATTTGCTTGAAGCTAATTGTTGTGTGTTAATTTTGTCTGGTGTTTATATCTGTTTTTTTCTCATGACTTATGATTGAGGATAAATTCACTTTTATTGTTTGATCTGTTAGTTGGCTGCATTGCAATGAATACTTTTTAATTACATAAATACGTTGCATTACTTAAAGATGTATGCTCTGATCAGAAACCATTAGCTAAAATCATTTCTTAATGAAAATGTATTTTGAGTTCCAGTGGGCCAAAATGTATTTTGACTTCCAGTTTAAAAGTAAAAATTATAATTTGAACATTTCCATTATTCTTTAAAAGTAGTTGAACTTATGTAAAAGTTCACTTAAATTTTAAATGGCAAGATCTTTACAAAAGCCTTAATGTAGTTCTTTTTTTCATAATGAGGATAACTTGATTTGTTGGTGTCATATAGAATTTAGAATCACATTTCATATAGCTTTTAGGGACAACTTAACTTGCATCCATCATGCAACATTCTAAAAAGGAACAGTGTTGTAAATTCCCTGATCACCTTGCCTCAGATGACTCACATCTGGAATATGGCCCCATTAGAACAAGAACTTGGGATAAATCAGGTGAATGATGCCTAGTGGGTGAAGTCTGCTACTTTTCTCTCAGTAAGTTATTTAGGAGTTACAGTCAGTATGGTAAAGTAGAGCAACTAGCATCTTAGAATCAGATTTCATTTTACTTCACAAGCTCTTACAACGAACCTCACATTACTGCCACAGTCTCCTTTAGGAGCCATGTACTCCTCTGAAGGGGACATTTGAAGAAGTTTAGTTAATTTAGCAGTGATTTTTTTGCATTCTAATTAGATTTATTCTTAGATACCTTACTTATTTTGACAATATTATAAACAATATTTTTTAAATTGCATTTTATTATCTTTATTAAATATTTCGTTATTATAAATGGGTTACTATTCCATAAGTCAGATAATGAGTACATTTCTTTTGGGCAGTGTCACCTTTGCCTTCACTCTCTCCGTTTTCCCTTTCCATCCCCATCTACAAGTGTCTAGTGAGTACCGCTGGTGCATTTGTTCACCCTTTGTCCCTCTATTTCTTTGCTTCTTTTACCCTTCTCCCCAAGACAAAAAAAAAAAAGGAAAAAACCCTCTTGTTACTATTTCTTGAGGTTCATTTCAATAAATATTATGTTATCAGAGGCACTGAGGCATTGTGCCTTTGTTTGGCAATGATTTCTTTGTAAAGAATAATGGAGTGGTAAGAAAACATTTCCATCTGTGCTTATGGAGGCCTTCTTTTAAGGAACGAGATTATAACGACCCTACCAAATTTTGGATAGAATACTAATCCATAATTGAATGTAAATTTAATTTAAATGTTCATTGACTGAAAGTGCTATATTGTTTAGCTTCAGAGAATAGTGCTTAAAACTTCTTGAACATATGAATTTTCATAAAGATATTTACATATTAATGTGTATGGATAATACTAATTATTTGAATTATGGCTGATTATTCGTACTTTTCATTCTTGTCATAGCGTCTGAAAGAATTACAAAAGATATAATAGATCTAAACTGTAATGGTGGTAAACAATGACATGTACAGACTTTTCTGCTTAAAGCTGGCATTATTACAGTGTGGATATACATATGAATGTTATTCAACTTGCATTTCTTAGATATGAATTATTATATAAATTGAGTTGAAATAAAAAGTTGTGTGCTAGCTGTTAGCCCAAGATGTTGCTGCTCTGTGTGGTGTAGGGACTTGTAGTTTCCTCGCTGTCCTTGGGCAACCAGCGTTTCACCTGGTTCCCCTGTGCTTGCTCTCCCTTTCCTGAGGGTAGATTTTTGTAAGAGAAGTTCAACCCATGTTAGGTGATGGCACGTATATCTTTGGCCTGAAATTGCTTGTTCCCATTCTGTTATTCATTCTGTCCCATTTTCCTCTCCTCTCTCCTAGGCCTGGGTATCATCTTGAATACTCCAGCATTGAGGGTAGGAAAAAGCCAGAGAATAAAACCTATGTGCAGAGTTCAGCCTTCACCTGAGAGGCTGGAAATGAGACAGCCTAATTGTGTTCCTCAGACTTGTTAAAATACAAGGAAAATCATTTGGACTTTATTTGAAATTTAGAACTTAAAAAGCTTTACATTTGTAGAATGTAGAGTAGAGACACTGTGGGTCTAGCTCATTGTTAATAGCCTGTGAGGGAAGTGGCACTGTGGCTCAAGTGGTAGAGAGCCTGCCTTGAGCTGAAGAGTGCAGGGACAGCGCCCAGGCCCAGAGTTCAAGCACCACGACCGACATTAATAAATAAATAAAATATAAAAAATAAGAATAGTAGCCTGTGAGGCAGGAAGGGAAACAAATAAAGGACATTTTAAAGATTTGCCTTTGGGTGAAAGGTTATAGTAAAACTAAAGAGTAATTCTGAGCCAGGTGCCACAGTGATTTACACCTGTAATCCTAGCTGCTTGGGAGACTAAGATTGGGAGGATCAAATTGGATGCACTTGGGAGGATCAATTTGGATCCACTGGGAGGATCGGTTTGGCCAGCTTTTACCAAAAAAAACAGTTCTCAAGTCTCTTATCTCAACTGAAGAGCTGGAACTGGTAGCACGTGCCTGTCACTCAAACTACAGCATCAAGCATAAAATAAGTAAATTCTGGTCCAAGTGTGGACTAAAGGAAGAAGCAAAGAGTATCTCAGAATAACCAGTGTAAAGGTCTAGAGGTAAGGCTTAGCTGTAGAGCATTTGCCTAGCAAGTGTGAGGCTTGTGTGAGTTCAAATCCCAGTACCAAAAACAGAAAAGAAATGGTGCTGTGGATCAAGTGGTAGAGTGCTTGCCTTGAGCTGAAGAGCTCAGGGACAGTGCTCAGGCACAGAGTTCAAGCCCCACTACTGACAAAAACAAACCAAAACAAACCAAAAAAGAATTATGAAATTATGATTCTGCTCAGCACCAGGCCCTTGGTGACTGCTGTATTAGATAATTTTTTGGTAGGAAGGGTTTGTGTAATTGAGAGGATCTGATAGCCAACTGACTGAAATTCTAGCACACAGGAAGCTGAGGCAGAGGATTTTGAGTTTTGAGGCTATCCTTGGTACATAGTGACACATGATGTCTCACATCAATAATGAACAAAAGTATCTAAAGGATGTTTTAAAAATTTGTATAGTTTCTCCATTATTGTCATCCATTTTTTTAAAAAAATTATCTTTGTTGGATAATAAAATCAAATTTCTATCCTAATTTCTGTCCTGTGTAGCTTTCTCAAAACAGGATTGGAGTTATTGGGGTTAGACTTTGAATATCTATTACATCTAAGAAATCTTGAATATAGAATGACTTGCGAAAGAATAGTTTGGAAGGTTTGGAATATTTAAAAAATAAAATAAAAATCTGTCAGGTTTGGCCTCATAGCCCTTAATTTATTTCTAATATATGTATGTTTTGAAACATTTTCATTAACATAAAGGCAAAAAACTAGTTTTCTAGTCTAGGATCTAGGGATTGTTTCAGTAGCCTCAAATTATTTTGAAAGCTATGGTATGTATGAGCCTAAGGTAACTATTAATACTTTAATTTTTTTTTCTTTTTAGTGGTAACCTTGGGTTTGAACTCAAGGCCTCCATCTTGCTATGTGCACTACAGCTGAGTCATATTTCCAGCCTTCTTTTTCAATGATTTTTTGTGTGTGTGTGAAAATACTGTACAGAGGGGTTACAATTACATGGGCAAGATGAGTATATTTCTTATCAAGCATTGTAGCCTCCTTCTTTGTTCCCCCTTCCCATCCTCCCCCCCAACCCTCCACACACACACCAAAGTTGTAAAGTTCGTTTTCAACATAACCACTTGTACATCTCATTGGTGCAATGGGTCCACCTGTAACCCTATTTAAACAATTTGTTTTTCTCCTTCCCCTCCACAAATTATACCGACATCAAATACAGTGAAAGCAGGGGTTATACCATGGGGGAGGGACATACAAAGCAACAAAGAAATAATCTCATAAATGTGTTAGAAACAATCGCATGGAAGAAAAAAAACCCATTTGAATACATATCTTATGGTTCATTTCCCTAACATCAACTTATCTGACCTTTTCTGCTTGACTCAGACATATACTAGATATTGCAAATAAGGGAAACCATGGGACCTGTGTTTCTTTGGGCCTGGCTTACTTCACTTAATATAATTTTTTCCAAGTCTTTCCATTTCCTAACAAATGGGGCAATGTCATTCTTTCTGATGGAGGCATAGAATTCCATTGTGTATATATACCACATTTTCTTGATCCATTCATCTACTGAGGGGCATCTGGGTTGGTTCCATATCTTAGCTATAGTAAATAATGCTGCAATAAACATAGTGTGGTGGTAGCTTTAGTGTGGTCTTGTTTGTAAGCATTTGGGTAAATGCCCAAAAGTGGGATTGCTGGGTCATAGGGGAGCTCTATGTGGAGTCTTTTGAGGAACCTCCATACTGCTTTCCAAAGTGGTTGAACAAGTTTACACTCCCACCAACAATGCAGTAAGGTTCTCTTCTGCCCACATCCCCTCCAGCATCTGTTGTTATTAAAGTTCTTGATTTTAGCCATTCTAACTGGGGTGAGGTGGTATCTCAATGTTGTTTTGATTTGCATTTCTTTTATGACTAGGGAGGTTGAGCATTTCTTCATGTGTCTCTTTAAGTCTTTAGCCCACTTATTTATTGGGCAGTTGTTTCTTTGAGGATTTGTTGTTGGGGGATTTAATTTTTTGAGTTCCAGGTATATTTTAGATATGAGACCCTTGTCCGATGTATGGCTAGTGAAAATCTTCTCCCAATCCGTGGGCTTTCTATTGATCTTGCTAGCTATGTCCTTTGCCATGCAGAAGCTCTGCAATTTCATGCAATTCTATTTGTCCAACCTTTCTTTGATTTGTTGTGTTTCTGGGTCTCTATTGAGAAAATTTCAGCCTGTGCCAACAAGACCTAGGGTTTCTCCTATTCCATCCTGTAATGTTTTCAGAGTGTCTGCTTTGACTCCGAGGTCTTTGATCCTCGATGATTTTTTTGAGATAGGGTCTCACTACATTCTAGCCTAGAACATGTTTGTTTACATTTCTTAAGGAGGTTGGGTGTACCACCATGTTCAGCTCTTGCTGGAGGAAGGGTCTTGCTAGCTTTCTTCTTAGGAGGGGAGGCTGGGCTATTTTTGAACCTTGATCCTCCCTACCTCAGTCTCCAAAGTATCTAGGATTTACAGGTATGAGTTTCCTGATACCTGGAGGTTCCTAATAACTTTATTCGTTTTTAATTTGTTTACTTTAAAATAGTTTAATAGTAAATAAAACAGACAAATGCCTAAAGCCTATATATATGGCTGTGAGATTACATCTCTAGTTTTACCATGGATTATTGATTCAAAGACTCATACTTAACATTTTAACATACTTGAGATGAAAATGTATTTAAAGATCAATGGTGTGGTATATAGCACATTTCTATCACCAGTGACATCTTGGATTCTGTGAAGTCAGTATGATTTAAGAGTGGCACAGAGGTAGTGTTGCAGACAGTTTGTAGGACTTTAACATCTCAGACTTTTTTTTCTTTTTCTTTTTTTTTTTTGGTCGTGGGGCTTGAACTTTAGGCCTGGGTGCTGTGCCTGAGCTCTCCAGCCAAGGCGAGTGCTCTAACACTTGAGCCACAGTTCCACTTCCAGTTTTCTGGTGGTTAATTGGATATAATTGGACTTTCCTGCCTAGGCTGGCTTTAAACCCTTGTCCTCAGATCTCAGCCTCCTGAGTAGCTAGGATTAGAGGAGTGGGCCACCGATGCCAGACATGTCTCAGATTTTAAGGGCTGATTCTTCTTTAGCAAAATGACTGACAAGGAGTAATTTACAAATTATCCCTGTCGTTCTAAATAATTCTGCATTTTGGACATTGATTCCAGTTCACTTCAGTTGAATAAATTTTGATAAGCTAACAAAGTTTTGACAGCTGTTTAAATGTTAGGAAAAGAGATATTCAACATTTTTCTTAAATCCTGAGAGCACTGTTAATTTTATTTTAGGCCCATATAGGTTTTGCTTTTTAGTTTGACATTACTACAATAGTACAACGTATTATGGGAATTATATTCACATCTTGAAGTTTGTAGTAAAACAACCATTTTGCTTTCTTTATTTAGTTAACTTCCTGAGATACCAGAAACATGGGTGAAATTAATATTTATTTGAATGTCTTAGGCTTAAGGTTTACTTTCTACACCAAATAGAGGTAATTTGGACATTAGATGCCAGAGGAAATTCTAAAAGGTCTGGACTTTCATTTGAGTTCTACAAAGTAGCTGCCTTGGATCTTTAAATCAAAGCAACATTGCTGCTCACAGAGCAAATTCTGTTTAATGGGCTTTGTTAGTCTTCACAATGTCTGTCAATAATGCCATTCCTAAAAGGGTTTACTGTTCTGTACTTCTTACAGTGAGTCCTCTATTTCTAATTAAGGCTCACATCTGGAGGTGCTCAAGAAAATTAGTGCAGTTAGTCTTTAAAGTGTGTGTGACTGGTTCATGTCATGACATGTTGTATGTGAGCAGAATCACATCTGTTGGCCTCTCTTGCCTTCTCTCCACAGAGTGTCTCCTATATTCATGCTGCACTTTGTAGAAGGCTTGCCACGGAGTGACCTACAGCACTACACCTTCCACTTTGAAGGCAGCCTTTATCACATAACGGCCATAATTCAGTACCGAGCAAGTAACCACTTCATAGCCTGGACTTTAGAGCCTGGTGGTAAGTGTTAAATATTGCCTTTTAGGGTCATAGTCATGGGAACTACTATTTCATCATCATTCTTGTCTAACTATACTAAATTACTATTGTATTTTTCTTTTTAAAGACACTGTACCTTAACTCTTATTCCTCCTTCTGCTAATGTTTGTGGTTTCAGTATCCTTCCTAACTCTTCTATCACATATCTGTAGGTGTATACATATGCATATTTCTATCTTATTTATTTGGGCTTTTTGGTACAGGGTCTCACTCCAGCCTGCCTTGAACTCAAGAACTCTGATACTCAAGCATTGGAATGATGAGCTTGTATACCATTGTTGGTTTACAATTTGCTTTTTTCCACTCAATATCTATGTTTTTCAGATACCTTATACTTTTTAAAAGAAAGGTTTTGGGAAATACAAAAATAAATTTTTAGCATAATTATAACCAGTAACACAAATGAACTAAAAAGTAAAAATAAAGTAAAAATTTTTTTAAACTATGAACCAAAGGACTGTATAGCCCTCTGTTACTGAAATAGTTTACTAACAGTCTCAGTCAAAATAAAACCTTTATTTACTTTTAAGTATTTAAACTGCCCAGAGGAAAGCTGAATAAATACAGTCCAGTTTAGATTAGTTGTTTTTTTCACATTGTGCATTTATCTTCAACAAGAAAGTTAGATCCCTTACAGAGCTATATCAGGCCCTAGGTAAGAGGTTACTTTGATAATGACTATTTTCGATTCTTTTGTCTGTACTTTTCTTGAGGAAGGAGCTGTCCTGGGTATTGAACTCAGGGCATTCATTGTACTTGCTAGGTAGGAACTCCACCATATGAGTCACACCTGTAGCCCCTTTTACATTGTTTATTTTTTAGTTAGGATTTCACTAGGTGCCCAGGCCAGCCCAGGCTATGATCCTACTTGTGATTCTCAGTGGAAAAGACATGTGGAAATGACAGGTGAATACTTCTATGCCCAGGCATTGTGCTTCCAAGCAGCCATTGGTTGAGATAGAATCTTGTGAATTTTTATGCCTGACTGACCTTAAACCTCAATCCCCCCAATTTCTGCCTCTCAAAGTAGGTAGGGTTATAGGCTTGAGCTATCACTCCTGGCTTACTTTTTATATTTGACATTTTCTTCTAGGAAGTAGTTTGGATTGATATTAGTGAGTATCTGCAGTTTGCTCTGGAAATGTAATTACTACCTTGAAGAGGTTTTTATCTGTCACCAGGATTTGGTTGGAAGTAGTTTTTAACAGAAACAACAACAATGAAAGAAAATAAGCTTATATTTTAACTTTGATCAAATTCTGTGGAATGAAAAATCTACTTCAAGTATAAGTTTCTAATCTTTTCTTTCTTTTTTTGGGGGGGGTCCGGTCATGGGGCCTGAACTCTGGGCCTTGGCACTGTCCCTCAGCTCTTCAGCTCAAGGCTAGCGCTCTACCACTTGAGCCACAGCGCCATTTCCAGCTTTTATTCTTTTTGCTTATGTGGTGCTGAGGAATTGAACCCAGGGCCTCAGGCATGCAAGGCAAGCGCTCTACCACTGAGCCACCTTCCCACCCCCAAGTTTTCTAATCTTAATAGAATGTGAGAATCACATGGCTAGCTTATAAAAATTTCTAGAATCTACAAGGTCTGCTACCTCTAGCTCAGCAAATCAATCTTAGGGATCAGGCCCAAGGATCTATTGTTTTTATTTTTTTTTGTTTTTATATTTTAAAAAAGTTATTGTTGGGTGCTAGTGGCTCACGTTTTTAATCCTAGCTACTCAGAAGGCTGAGCTGAGGAGCACAGTTTGAAGCCAACTCAGGCAGAAAAGCCTGTGACATTCTTATCTCTAATTAACCACCCAAAAAAAAAAGCTGGCGGTGCTACTCAAATGGTAGAGTGCTAACCTTGCGCCAAAGAAGCTCAGGGATCGTGCCCAGGCCCTGAGTTCAAGTTGCAGGACTAGCACAAAACAAAAAAGCAAGATACAGAATTTAAGTTTACCATTTTTCATTTATAAATTAATGATATATTGTTATTCATGACATTCTTAGTTTGTATAATAACTACTGCCATGAATTACCAGTGGATAAAATTACTCATTACACAATAATTCCCTGTTGCCCTTTCCACAGCCAATAGTAGCAATTGTTCTGCTGCGTCTTAATTTCATAGTTCTAGGTACCATCCAAATACAACCATACTGTATTTATCTCTTGCATCTGGCCCATTTCATTTAGTGTATATTTTCAAGGTTCAACCATGTTACTATGTTAAATTTCCTTTCTTCAGGACTAATACTACATTGTATTATCTGTTACCTTTTAGCTATAGTGCCTAGTGCTGCTATGAACCTTAGTAGCTATCTCAATCCTGTTCTCAGTTCTTTGGGTGTATACCTACAAGTGGAATTGCCATGTCTTATTGGAATTCTGTGAAACCTTTCAGGAATGGCTTAACTGTTTCCACAGCAACTTCCCCATTTTACATTCTCACTAGCAATGCCCAAGGGTTCCAGTTTTACCAACTCCCTGTTAACATTTGTTAGTTTCTTTGTTTATAACAGCTAACCCAGTGGATTACTGTCCTTCTTTGAGGAGCAATTTATGAATGAGTTACAGTCTTACTCATTCATGCCTCAGTCTACTTCAGAATGACTCCTCTGCCTGCTATGCCAAGAAAAATAATTGCCAGTTACCAAACTGCTATGAATAATGGACTCTCCACAGATCTGATATCAGTTCTGCAGTACTTACACTGCACACTGCTGCTAGTCCTTAGACTTGTCCTGCCATCCAGCATCTTATTCTCCTTGTTCTCCCTTGAGAGATGAGAAGACAGAATAGCTGCTATTGTGTACACAGAAGGCTGAAGATCTGGGCACCCCATCCATCCTGGGCTGTGCTACCTAGGCATAGCAAGATCCTGTCAGATTACAAACAAGAAATGGAACAATTGTTTGGGGTAACTTAATTCATAGAACTACATTTTCTATTTTTCAGTGCTGATAGGTATTTATTTTACCATCCAAAAGTTAAAGTTATTTTATCTTGATTTTTGTGTGTGTGTGGGTATTTTAGGAACCAGTATAAACTCCACAAAATTATCCCAGATTTCTAGGCTGTGCATACAATCCTAATAAGCACTTTAATATCCAGCAGAGAATGGAGAACAAGGGTAGAGCCATGTTTTTAAGTGTTCTCTTTTGGTGCATATTCAGTGTTATTACAGTTCAGAAGAGTAGAAGGAAGTGCAGTGGGTTGGTAGTCCAGGAGTGTCTGACCTCTTTGGCTTTCTTTCTCATCCCCCAGGTAGTTGGCTGGAATGTGATGATTTAAAAGGCCTGTGTGTTGAAAGGCACGAGAAATTTGACATTCCTGCCTCAGAGATACATATTGTTATTTGGGAAAGAAAAACATCCCAGATGACAGCTAAAGAAGCTGCCTGCCTTCCACTCAAGAAGTCCAGCGGTGAGCCTGCTCCAGGTGAGGGGAGACCAGCATCTCCAGCGCTGTGCTCAGGGCACGAAGCTGCTGCTGCTGCAGTGGAGGCCGCCTCAGCCGCTCACCCCCCACCTGCATCAGATGCTCCTCATGCTCTTGCACTGGAGAGAGCTGAAATGCATGGACATTCTATATTTTCAAGTCCAAATGATGTGGTTGACCATAATAATGTATGCTTGATGCTTGAAGGAACTATCCAGGAAGCCACCTCTGTTTTCCAAATGAACTCTAAAGCTTTGCTAGTTCAAAACAAACCTGTGGCAGAAGTTGCAGGACCTGTCATGGCAAATACTCCACAATCACTAGAGTCACCGATGGTCTCTTCCCTGTCTCCATGTAAAGAAAAGTTTATCCAAATGCAGTTGGTGGATTTAAGCTTTCCACTTCAGCTTGCAAGTACAGATGCACAGTCAGAACAGCAGAGCACAGAAGATGGTACAGCTATTAAATCTGTGAATACTGCTCCTGCTGCTGGTTTTGTACAGGAAGACAAGTCAGTGGGAATTCAGGACACTCCATTTAAACAATTGTCCCCATTAAAAATTGAGAAATTAAAACCAGACAATGAAAATAAGCAGCACACTACATCTCAGGCTTCTAATTTGAAGAAAAAAGAAATCACAGTAAATCCTCAAATCCTAACAGCAAAGTTATCAGAGAATCCACCTCCAAAAGAGACTCAGAAGAAGCCATTTGTGGGAAGTTGGGTTAAAGGGTTGTTAAGCAGGGGTGCTTCATTTATGCCTCCCTGTGTTTCTGCCCAGAATAGAAACTCTTTAACTGATTTGCAGCCTTCAGTTAAAGGAGCGCGCAGCTTTGGTGGCTTTAAGACAAAAGGTGTAAACCAAAAGGCCAGCCGGGCATCCAGAAGAGCTGGCAGAAACGCAGGTAAGCCACCTGCTGTGAATAGCAGCCCTCCCCCAGTCTCTTCCCAAGCCCCTCCCCCAGCAGGCAGCACCATGGCTCATCCACACACAGGTGGGGATGCTGCTGCAGGACTTTGGAAGGTCCAGGGAAGCACTGTACAGGGAATGCACCTCAATGGCCATTCACATGGAAATGAAAGTAGCAGCTCTCCAGCCAACCATGGAGACTCCGTGCAAAGTGAGATTCATAAACTTCGACTGAAACTTCTTAAGAAATTAAGGGCAAAGAAGAAGAAATTAGCTGCTCTTACAGCTTCTTCCCCAGATAGGACACTTCCAAATGAAAATGTAGAACATGGGTCCCATTATGGGTCTCCAAATGACTGTGAATCAATAGAAGACTTGTTAAAAGAACTACAATATCAAATTGATGCTGCTGATAAAAAGACTGCATGTACTCCTGTGCCTAGTGTCTCATACAATGGTCAAACTCATGAAGAAATTTTAGCAGAATTACTGTCTCCTACGCCTATATCAACAGAGCTGCCAGAAGATGCAGAAACAGACTTGCGGTATCTGGAGATGGGAGATGACCACACTCCAGCATCAGTACCTAGTGAATTAACCAGTGTGCCCCAGACACATCTCAAACAGGACCACAACTATTGCAGTCCTACCAAGAGAAATCAGTGTGAAGCTCAGCCTGACTCACTCACAAATAACACCTGTATGAGAACATTAAATTTGGAGAGTCCCATGAAGACTGATATTTTTGATGAGTTTTTTTCTACTTCACTAACTTCTTTAGCAAATGACACATTAGACATACCTCACTTTGATGAATATCTGTTTGAGAATTGCTGAATTCTTATTAACTCTAGTTTAATATTTATTATTGTTTATAGAAAATATTCTGTTTTCAGGTAGTATTTGCACACTGGTCTTGTGTAATAATGGTGAATAAAATATAAGCTGCTGAAGAATTTGCTTTTGATTCTTTCCAAGAAGCATGAGGTCTGTTTTAAATTAAAATTATCACTGGGCATTGGTGGCTCACACCTATAATCCTAGCTACTTAGGAAGCTGAGATCTGAGATCTCAGTTCAAAGCCAGCCTGAACAGGAATCTGGGCCTCTTGTCTCCAGTTAACCACTAGGGAGGAAAAAAAGCTAGAAGTGAATATGTGGTCAAGTGGAAGAGTGCCAGATTTGAGCAAAGGAAGCTCAGAGATAGAGCCCAGGCCCTGAGTTTAAGTCCCAGAACCAGCACCAAAATCAGTTAAGAATGTATTCTTGGGGCTGGGAAGGTGGCTCAGTGGTAGAGCGCTTGCCTTGCATGCTTGAGGCCCTGGGTTCGATTCCTCAAAACCACATAAGCAAAAAGAAAAGAGCTGGAAGTGGTGCTGTGGCTCAAGTGGCAGAAGTGGCAGAGCACTAGCCTTGAGCTGAAGAGGTGAGGGACAGCGCCCAGGCCCAGAGTTCAGGCCCATGACGGACCCAAAAAAAAAAAAAATGTATTCTTGTTAGTCTGAGGACTAACCCAGTGGTAGAGCCTTTTTGACCAGCATTGTGAAGCCTTGGGATCCTCAGCACCTGAAAAAAGGTATACATTATATTTGTTCACATTGGTGAATCTAGTGTTGGAGCTCAGGAGAGGAGATGCTGGAGATGCTTGTTTAGGGATCATGTGTGCTTGATTGTATATATTTAACGCCACTATCAAAGGAGCTGAAACAGTAGGTGAACATGTGGTACCCCAAAGTCAAAGCAAGAACACTTTTTGGAAGGAGGGGGGTGATTATCAGATGCTGGACAATAAGCAACATGAGGTTTGGGCAGTAAGGAAGGCCATAGCAACAGCAAGGACAGTTGAATGGGCCCTAAAAGGACTCCCAGCTGGGCTCCTGAGCAGGTGTGGTGAGAAAGTGGTGCTGTATGATGGAGATTCGCTTTTTAGGAGAAGGTGCTAGATGGAACCCATGCATGCCAAGCATGTGCTCCACCACTGAACCAGCCCCAGTCCTACACCCACTTTTTGAAGCAGTTTCTGGTGCCTGGATTTCTGTGCAAGATGATATAATAGATTCTGTGTGGCCAGTCTGTTACCTGGTGAGAAACTGTAAGAGGTTTCTCCAGGGATAGGATCCAGTATAGAAGAGGAGGATGTGACCTTAAAAGAGGAAGAGTTTATTTCTAATGCCAGAGGAAAAAGATCTCTCCTGGGGGTTGCTCAGTTTTTGTGCCAGTTCAGGGGCATGAACTCAGGGTCTGGATGCTGTCTGAGTGTTTTAAGTTACACTTGTTAACTCTACTACTTGAGCCACAGCTCTACTTCTGGCTTTTTGGTAGTTAATTAGAGATAGTCTCACAGACTTCCCATGCCCAGGCTGGCTTCAAGCCATGATCCCCAGATAAGTAGCTAGAATTACAAGCGTGAGCTATGGGCACCCAGCTTCTAGTATTTTCTCAGGGAACTAATATGACCAGCTGTTGAGGATGTGGAGGGAAGAGGAATTGGAGATTGAAGTGAGGTTTGGAAGAGAGGGGAACTAATCCAATAGGATGAACTTGCCTAGGCTGTGTCAAGACCCCCCGCCCCACTTCCCCTCCACCCCCCAGGGTACCATGGTCTTAAACTTAACTGAGACTGCAGATAATGGTGGCAGTTTTTTTTGGGGGGGGGTTCATTTTTTGTTGTTGTTAATGCCCCTAATGCCCTCCACTCCACCCATCATTTTTATCTGCTCTAGTGTAAGTCAAAAAACCTGCCAGAGTTAGATGTAGTGAGAGAAGAGGAATGATTGATCAGGCAAATGGAGGAAAGAGACAAGGACTTAAAAGGTTTTATATGTGAGTAATGTTAGATCTGGAATGGCACCCAAATACACTTGTGCTTCAGACTTGTTCTGCTTTGCCCTATTAGGAGGTGCTGGAATGTTGAAAAACCTCTTCAACATTCATTTGTGCTACCTCTGCATATAAAATAGTAAACTTTGTCATTTGGCAATTTGTTTTCTAGGATACTTTTTTTAAAACAGGTTTCATTAGCCTGGGCTAGCCTTTAATTCATAATCCACAATCCTGGGCTGGGAAGGTGGCTCAGTGGTAGAGCGCTTGCCTTGCATGCCTGAGGCCCTTGGTTCGATTCCTCAGCACCACATAAGCAAAAGAAAAAAGCCAGAAGTGGCGCTGTGGTTCAAGTGGTAGAGCACTAGCCTTGAGCTGAAGAGCTGAGGGACAGCGCCCAGGCCCAGAGTTCAGGCCCCACGACCGGACCCAAAAAAAAAAAAAAAAAAACCATAATCCACAATCCTTCCATAGCTTCTGGAGTGCTGGGATTACAGGTGTGCACCAACACTCCTGGCTCAGGCCTTTATTTGTTTTTGTACCAGTACTAGGATTCGAACTTGGGAGCACTGTCTCTGAGCTTTTTTGCTTAAGGCTAGCACTCTACCACTTGAGCCACAGCTCTATTTTCAGCTTTTAAGTGGTTTATTGGAGATAAGAGTCACATTGTTTCTGGGCTTCTCGGAACTGTGATAATCAGATTTCAGCCTCCTGAGTAGCAAGGATTACAAGCATGAGTCATTGGTAGCCCAGCTCAGACTGCTATTTTTAATGTTTGAATGTGTGGAAGTTTCACATAATTTCCTCTTTTAGTGTAATGCATTATTAACAAGATTTCAATCCCCTAAAATATAAATATTTCCTCATTTTAAAATGAAACTAGGGGGGCTGGGAAGGTGGCCCAGTGATAGAGCGCTTGCCTTGCATGCATGAGGCCCTGGGTTCGATTCCTCAGCACCACATAAGCAGAAAGAAAAAAGCCGGAATTGGGGCTGTGGCTCAGGTGGTAGAGCACTAGCCTTGAGCTGAAGAGCTGAGGGACAGTGCCCAGGCCCAGAGTTCAGGCCCCACGACCAGACCCCCCCCCAAAAAAAAAAAGTGTGTGTGTGTGTTTGTGTGTGTGTGATGTATTCGGGTGTGTTTTGATATGGAACATTTACATTTCTCTATTTTCTATCCCTCCCACAGTAAAGTTATTTGAATTCTGTCCAGTAACCTGAACAACTCATCAGCCATGCAAAAAACATCATTCACCTATCTTTCTTTTTTCAGTACTGGGAATGAAACCCAGGGGCCTGTACATTCAACTCCACAAGCTCTCTATCACTGAACTGTATCACCAAACCTTGGATTTTGGGGTAGGGTCTCACTAAGTAGCAAGGCTATTCTTGAACGTATGCTCCTCCCACTTCTACCTCCTGAGTGCTGGGATTACTAATATGGGCTACTTACACCTAACATTACTGTCTGGTTGTACTGCTAGAATTTGTATATGTTTGCTAGATTTGAATCCATGGCCTTGCACTTGGTAGGCAAGCACTCTACAACTAGCTACAGCCAGATCCTCAAGCAGTTTATTAACATATTTTAAATTTGCATAGATTATTGAGGTTACTGGGAAATATTTTTTAGTGATCTATTACCACATGCCAGTTGAGAGCTAAGATGATTGATACAATACCAGTTTCCAGAAGAAAAAAGACAAGGAAGAAAGTCATTAGTAACAGGATTTAATCAGGCTTTCTTTTGTCCTCATGTCACAGTAATGCACATTGAATCTTCAAAAGGAGTATGAAGAATGAAAAAAATAAGTATTAACTTTGCTGGGCATTACAGAAACAAGCAAAAGAGATAGGTCATTTTGAGATGTATGCCCTGGGAGGGGAGGAAGGGTTCATGGCTAATGTGTGTTAGAGAAAGCCCCTGCAGAAGTTAACTCTGGAATGGACTTCATTCTGTATATTTCAGTGGTAACCCTTCACAGCATCATTCTGGCTGCAGGTAAAGAACCACTGTCAACAAGTTCCAAAAGGGCCTCAGTGAAATTCTCCATTTTGTCCCTCTGAGCCTTGTTAACTTATGGGAGGTCATTGTTTTGGACTGGGCTCTTGCATAGCCCAAAAAGCGGAGCAAACCTTGTAATCAAACAACTTTAAAACTGGCTAGTATTCAGAAAGAGCCCAGGAGCTTCCTAGCAACCAATTAGAAGAGATACTGTCATCCATGGTAAGAGCCCTGTAAGGAACTAAGGGGCTGGGAAGGTGGCTCAGTGGTAGAGCGCTTGCCTTGCATGCATGAGGCCCTGGGTTCAATACCTCAATAAGCAGAAAAAGCCAGAAGTGGCGCTGTGGCTCAAGTGGTAGAGCGCTAGCCTTGAGCTGAAGAGCTGAGGGACAGCGCCCAGGCCCTGAGTTCAGGCCCCATAACCCCCCAAAAAAAGAAAAGGAACTAAAACCAGTCTCCTTCCCTTCCTGGTTTCTGCTTTCTTGGTCTGTTTTCTCCCTGTAAATCTTACCTTTTCTGCTCAGCTCCCTCCTCCCCTGCTCCTACCCCTCAGCACAGGTAGGATGCTGAGAACCTGGGCACCCTTGACTCCTCAGGAGGCTGAGATCTGAGGGTCGTAGTTTGAAGCCAGCCTGGGCAGGAAACTGTGAGACTTTTCTTCATAAACTACTCAAAAAACCTGGAAGTGGCACTGTGGTTCAAGTGGTAGAGTGCTCGCCTTGAGCAAAAGCAGCTCAGGGTCTTGTACTTGATTGGCTATCCCTCTACCATTTGAGCCACATACCCAGCCTGAAATTTTGCTGATTAATCAGAGATGATCGTTCAGATCTCAGTCTCTGGAGTAGCTAGGATTACAGGTATGAGCTAACAGTGCCCAGCTTAAGAAGATGTTTAAACAGTAACTTAAATTGAACTACAAAAGCAAGAGGGCCTAAGGAAATTGTTGCAATTTGGAAATAAAAATGCATTTTCTGTTTTATCAGGCTCTTAATACCCTGGTAAGGTGTCCTTCATGCCAGCTTCCCTTTCCTCTGTTGATGGAGATTAGGTATAGATGTCCCCCATTATGTGTTTCCTATTGGGCTGAGATTATCTAAAGATGCTGCTGGAGCTCCAGTGTCTCCGCAGCTC